ACCGGTAGAAATTGAGTTTGGTTTGTTCGGAATTGTATAAAGATTAGATAACATATTACTTTATAAGTATTTTATTCAATAGCTTAAGAGTATTTAAGATATCCAACTTTCAAAATACTTCAACACCTACGACTTGAGGGAAATTGCGCATACGTCATGTATGACAGGGAACATTTTTAATCAAACCTTATCGACATGCCCAGGCCTCTTAGGAATATTCGTTCTTGGCTGGCTATTATTTTTTTTAGGTACCTTTTAATGTCTGCCCTTTTGTGGCTTGTAATAAAATCAGCACGAAATTGCCAAATTATTTAGATTTGGCATCAAAAGAGGCGAAGTCTGGGTGCAGCCATATTGTCAAATGAGCAATAAAAAGTGTCTTTTATGACCCATATGACAGACGCAATTCTCGGTTACGCCATAGATATTTGCATAACTCAGGTAGACAAGTGTGGGTGTGGAAGGAAGGTACATTTTGGTCGCAGATCAGGGGAACATGGTTTTATAAATTGCTTTTTTATTGAAATAAACAAAAGCCTGAAGACAACTTTAAGCTGAGATGTTCACCTTGAATTTTTGTAAAGAAGAGAACACAGTTTTCCAGAGATTACATGAAGATTTTCCACATTTGGTTATATGCGCAGTACATATCTAAGCTGACATAAATTTTCGGGCGGGAATGGAATTATTTTGTTACGCCGTTTTGCGATGACGCCAAAGAAGTTTGCCGCATTTCGTTGGCTGTTGATAAATAAATATGACAAAAAAATGTTCGCACAAGATAAATGTAAGAACAGGTTGACAACAAGCTAAGGTAAAGAGTTTTCCACAGTACGTTTCAAATGAGTAAAGTCAAAAGAATATGTGGTTTTTTATGGTATTTTTGTAATTCTTTATATACTTCATGCTATTATAAAGAAGAGCACTTTAGAAATATGTTAAATGAAGTTTGTAAATGTAAAATATTTTTGGTCGTTCCTAGATTTATAGCTATGACTAACATCTTAGCCAAACCAAGAACGCAAAACACTCGAAATCGCATTCTAAACTTGGCATATTTGCATATAGAAGCGAATGCGCTTTGCTCCCTGACACCAAAACATAAACAACAAGCTCGCCGAGGGACAGGTAAAAAACCGAACCACTGCTGTGTGTGTTTTTTGTATAAGTGCAATCCATATTTGATATTTCTTATTTCACATGCACATATACATAATTATTATGCAGCCACAATAGGAGATGTCTTAGTACGTGCAAAATCCATTACATACCCGATATTATAGGGCAATTGGTGAAAAAGGTATAAAGAGCACTGTTGATACCCTAAAAAAACAATGAAATAAACATATGTATTTCAATTATGAATGATTTTATAGCAATTAGATTGTATTTTAATTTAAGGCAACATTATCAAATTATGTTTAAATGCAAACAAAATTAATTAAAAACAAAACTTAAAATTACTTTATGATTGTTTTTTTGCTCTTTATAAAATATTCATTACAATATTTTATTGTTCAAGTCTTGAAAATTTTTTTGTTATTTTAAATTTTCATTGTTATAAATACCTCTTGACTGCCATCGACTTATTAGTATTTTTGATAAATTAAATTAAATTCAATTTTGCAGAAAATAAAGCATATACCCGCTATTCTATGGTAGCTACAATCACCATGATATTTGACTCGCAACAACAATCAACTGCAATCAAAATAGAAAAGCCGCACAATTTTACTGGCATGCGGCACATGATGCAATATTTCCATAATTTTTCCTCCTCTGATCCTACAGCACGTTTTTCATCTGGATTTTGCATTGTTGTTGTGAATGTTTTACATGCCAAATTATGCAAGAATACAATATACCATACATATTCAAATATTTCCTCGGAGTTCCATAAAATACACACCGACACTGATCCCAGTGTCCGCCCATGGCCCTGCGCCACCCCTTCCCCAATTCATTCGCATCGATTTGGAATACTTGAATTTTGGAATTTGCCTGTCAAAGCCCCAATAATGACATGTCACGCTGTGTTTATCTTTTTTTTTGCCCTATCTTTCGATTTATTTGTGTTGTTATTGTGTGTGAAATTGTGGAATTTTCAATGGTTTTTAGTTGGCGCTGCTTGGCATGGGGAGCAAGGTCAACGATGTTGCATGCTGTTGATGCGGATTTCATGGGAATTAAGTTTGATTTGATAAAGGTCATGTTTTTCTGTGTGTGCCAGTCAGCAGTGTCTGTTTATTCGTGATGATCTGATAACGGAATTTGCAATTATGACAAAACCTAAATGGTTTAAACTGTTTTTTGAGTGATGGAAATGGGAAAGTGGCGGAGGGAAAATCGGATAAATTGATTGGTCTGCTCTGGCATTGATAGATTTGCCGACATGTGTTTTTGTTCTCCATTAAAAATGGGCATCGAACTCGATTGAATGCTTAATGCACATATTTTCGTTAGGATTATGGAAGTATTTAGGAAATTAATTAGAGTTATTCTTGCCAAATAGTTACACATATAGTTAAAGGCAAATTCTATACAATAAACTATTAGCTCTTTGTTTTAGTATACTGAGAAACAATATCTGTAAATTGCCTTTCCAATTTAGTAAATGCAATTATCCTAACCAATAAAAATAACAAACTTTATTCGCTTGCTTAAACCCTTCTTTATGTCCTATGTTTTCATCTCAAACTGCAAGCTTTCAGTTTGAATCCTGATTATTATTCCGCAAATAATCAGGCTGTGAAACAGTTGGCATATGTAGAATAGTTTTTGGCGACCCCAGACCACAGGATAGCACCTGTCCCCACCGATCTGACCGACAATTCATTCAAATGTCGACCATTCTGATGGGGCCTTCGGTTTCTGGTCTTTTGTCCTGGCTCCCGGATTCTCTTCGCTTTGGCTGACCAAAAGACCATTAAAAATATTTTTTCTGCCCATTCAGCATTCAATAGAAATTTACATCACGTCGGAAATTTTTACATACGCATATGTGTGTGTGTGTGTGTGTGTACATACATATGTCCTCTGCTAAAACGACATTTTGTGATGGCCGAGAGGCTGGATGGGTGTTGTTGGGTGGTTATATGGTGGCGAGTGTCGCGTTGAGCATACTAACACTTTTTTGTATGTTTGCTTAGCTTAGGTTTTCACCTGGCAAAAAAGCAGCAGGGGTTGGGCATTGGATTGTGCCAGCCTCAAAGTAACAATAATAAAAGCCAGGCGGGCGGGTAAAATAACAAAAAAAGATGTCCTTCTGGCAGGAAACTATATTGCCGCATAGGCAATTTCATTGTGCGAGGATACATATATTTAGACAGATATGTTCGGGACCCTTGGCAAATTGGTTTACCCAGTTTCACCTAGGTTTACCCTTTTCACCACACTTTAGTTGGCCTCCCACTGCCACACGTAAAATAAATTGTAGTTTAAGAAGCTGGTTTACCTTTATAGTTGAGCCAAAATATTCTTAAGGAATATTTAAAATAAATAAAATATTTTCTGGTAAAACTAACCAAATACAAAGATATACATTTGCAGGCTTTCCCTTTCCCTATTTTCTTGGCTTGACTCTCAGGTGAAAAAGGGAAAACAGGCGCAGACTTTGAGGAGGTTGCACAATTTGCTAATTACCGCAATCAAAGTTTGCTGCTTGGGAAGCCAAAAACAGCTTCAAAAGCACAAAACTGATAAATTATAAATTAAAGGGAATCTCACGAAAAGTTAGCTCCTTTCTATATCTTTAGTTTACACAGCAAACTTCTGTGGATATTTCTTGTTTTTTTTCTCCCTTTTTTGCTTGGATTCGAGTGCATAATTTACGAGTTGAGCTCGCTGCCAATATTTCAATTACTCTGCGGCTTTCCCAGCATTTCTCTTTCCTATATTTTTTCTCAGCCTCCCTATCCCAGAAGCAATTTCAATTGAGCTTAGTGCTTGCGGAGTACTCTTTTCGGTAGGCGGTTTTGTCTCAAGGCGAAATTAGTGGCCAAAACTGCGGCAGATTACAGGCTAGGCCAAGAGCGAACTTCAAACAATTATTTGGCCAGCTGGGGCGGGGAAGTTGGCTTTTAATTTGCTTAGCCCCGGCCCATGAATAATGCAATACGAGAAAGAAACGAGACCGAGATGAATTTTTGTATAATTGCAGGGCGAACAGAATTTCGCTTAGAACATCTCCCCGGGCCACATAATTGCCGAGTGGAAAGGGCGCAACGAAAAGTTAAATGTAAATTAAATATTTCACTTCTTCTTTTCTTTGGCAAATCGTGTGTTTTATCTGGCTCTTAAGGCAAATATTCACCTGCTACAAGTAGGACAGTGAATAACATGAAAAGGAATGAAAATTAAGAAAAATATTTCTTTTTATAAAAAGTTGAGGAGCTTTGTTTGTGGAAAAGGATAAAATAAATATTTTAAGGAGTTTATTAATTATATTATTAAGAGGAATATTTTTATTATTTCTTTATTTAGGTATCGAAAGGAAAGGTTATATTTCAGTAATCAACTTACCAAACAAATCCATCAGACCGCTTAAATTTACATCCTCAATAGCGAGGCCTAATTCAAGGATATATATTCGACTCCTGTTTGAAGGCACGGCTGCATCGATTAATTATGGCTGTCATCATGTAAATTGTGCTAAATTATTATTATCAATGTTGTTACTGGATGACAAACATTCAATATCGCGAATGTGTCAGACTCGACTGACAACGAGGATACAGAAACACAGGCCGACCCGTTGAAGCGGAGCGGCCAAATTGCAATTGTGATATTGACAATAATGCAATCAAATAATCAATCAATTAATGTCTGCTTGAATTAATGTCGAATATTATGTGCTATCGTCAATGCCATCATTAGCACTAAAATTCAATTATGTTGCAGGCATCCTGTTGCCCGTTCGTCCCGATGATTTCATCATTGTTGGGCGACTTTTTTGGGATATTGGTAGATTAAGCTAATCCCAGGAGCCTTTGGCCAACACATCATTCTCGGCCTTCTGGAATGCTTCAAAATTTGTGGCTTAAATTTGGGGACCAAGAATAATATGCCATGGCTGGAGCACCTGGAGTGAAGGAGAAGCTGAATCTTATTGTTGGCGGCGATATCTGTGAGGTTTACCGCGATGAATTCAATTGCGGATCCTTTGGTTTCTGGTGGGGAGTCATCGGTATAGCCGTCTTCATACTCTTTCTGGCTTACTTTCATCTTAACCGGGATCGAATAAGTCCAAGCGAATGATCTGGGGAACCTACATATCTGGGTGATTGTGATAAATAAAAAGTCATTTGAGTCACTGTAATACCGCCTTTTAATTTATAAAATTAATGAATTTAATAAGAATATATGTGTACATCAAATAATACTATTATCCATTAATCCATTAAGTTTTGATTTCTTAAAAAATTCCAAAAAAATTACATCAAATTATATTATTTATTAATTTTAAATAAAAAGTTCTTTGACTTGCCAGTCAAATTAAAACCCGTTAATGCTGTCAATCCAAATTGATATTACTTTTTGCACCAAGCTTCATTTTTATAAAATTTGTACTTAAATCCGAGGCTTAATATGCATGTGCACATGCCTTTTCATATTTTTTTATACACCTATACATGTATAATATTTTCATTGCCTGATGGATAAAAAAAGTATGCTATGTAAATTGTAACTCGGTCGATACATTTGGCAGGGCAATATACTCGTATATTAAACTCCTCAACTTTATTTGATTTATGCATCATTCACGCGCAATTTATCGCAAAAATTACCCAAAAGGTCAGCGCAAAAAATGGGCGGTAAATTCATGTTTTTCGAATCCATGGAGGAGTGCACAGAGAGGTCAAAAGCGGTGGGGTTCTTTATTGGGTAGTTTATAATTCAGTAAAACATAACTGATTTTTAATGTTGTTTACTCAACTTACAAACATTTTGATTTACGTGTGTGCGGCTCAGATATGCATCCATATATATATAAGTATATATATATAATATATATATATATATATTCATGTATATCAATAACAACACTGGCAACAACACAGAACAACCAACAATAATAAAGAGACTGACAGGCAGGCAAGCGTAAGCCAATGTATGTTTATATATTTACTTAACTTTTATGGCTCTGCCTTTGCTACTGTGCAGTGTATTTGTTTTTAACAAACACATATAGCATTTGGTAACATTATAGGAATATATGATATGAAAGGAAAAATAATTTTATAATTAGATATAAAAATAGTGCAATGCATTAGATTTATAGTTTACTACTAAATTTAAGGAATAAATAATTTAAGAAGCTTAACTATGAATCGAAAGATTAATGAATATGACCTCAATTGTGAATGCAAAGAATTTACATAATTTCATGCACAACTGTACGGAGGAAAAGCGAATGCTGCGGAGAGGGAAATGCGTAGCCAAAGGAGCGATGTATAAATATTTGCATATGTCACACGCACAAAGCCAAAAAAGGGGGCGGTGAGCTTGGAGTCGAGGGGAGATTGAGTGATGTCCACCAAAAACGTCATTTGCCATACATTTTTGATGTTGTCTTTGCCACCGATGCGTAAAGTTCCAAGAACGCCACTCGTTCTTTGATTGATCAACAAAATACGACGTTTAAATTAATTTTCCATAACGATATATCAAATTAGGTACACCGATTAATTATTGAAGTAGTAAACAGAAAATAGTTTTATTTTTCAGATATATTTGTATTTAAAATTCATATTAAACTACCAAATTTAATTAAATGTTGGGTTTAATAAAAAGGCTGATGATATTCTTTGGCTGACACATCCTTTAAAGAGCACATTTACTTTATCTGAAGGCTGCTGAAAGTTGATCCAGCTTTTCATTTTACCTTGCCTTTCCTTTTCTTTGGTTATTTACCTTGCACTTTCAGTGCACCTAGGACCATTCATCGATTGGCCATATTTCTTGTTATTTTATCGCTCCTTTTTCCCTTGTGCGTTTCATCTTTCATACGCACTCGATATTCCATGGCAATCCACTGAAAGTGCCATCATCATTCGTTCCATATGCAAAAGCCAAATAACATTCTCGCAATGTCGCCTTGTCTCCTATTATTTCTGCCTCGGTTTCGCCTTTGGTCTCTTTTACCAGCTTTTGTTAAGGCTTGTGGTCGCCTCCTGCTGTTGCAGCGTTAACTGAGTCTGCCGCTGTCAAGTTGCCAGGACTTGAGACTTGAGAAGCCGCAGGATACGGTCCAGTCCACTAAAGTCAACTACACGTTGAAAAAAATTAATTATTATGGTTTAAAAGTCGATCAAGGTAGATACATCCCTTTTTAGAACTTATTTTTTTGTGATTACTAATTTTTGACATTTATTTCTATTTATATATTAGACAAAAAAAAGAATTTTTAGTTTCAAAAATATCTTAACAGTAGTGTTTTTAAATAATATTTATTGATAAATTCTGACAATATTATAAAACATTATTAAGTCTTTACAAGCATAGCAATATCGTTTGCCCTAAGTGTAGCCCCTTTTGCTGTCCTTGCAATGAAACAAAAACAGACAAGTTAATGTACAGTTGATGCTTCCATCTAATGGCTCTCATTGCCACGCCTCCATTACGAATTTTCCCGCCCACCGAGATTTGGATAAAAAAGCTAGAGAACTGACCGTGCTAATTGAGAGAGTAAGCGATGGCCGGGCTAAAACTTCGGGACATTCTAATGCCATTGTCAAGCAGCTTCGCTTCAGTTCAAACCAATTAACATTTCGTTTCCTAGGACTCATTCCCAATCCCTATTCCCACCTGCATTTCCTTGGATTCACAGTCACCCAATTACCTTACAGGTGGTGAGTGGACCAGTGCTCATAGGAATAGCTTTTTATAAATAATTCAAGCGCATTTAGTGATAGCTCGGCCTGGGCCCTTGCGCAAAGTCCCAGTTTCATTTGGTGGAGCAAAATTAACGGAGCGCATTGAGTGGCCATTTCAACCGATTTCGGAACACAAAGGACTGCCCCGAAAGCAAGTCAATGTCACAGGACGAACGAGATTCCGAGATTCGGAGGAGGAAGTCCAAGAAATTGACGGGAAGTCAAGACCCCCTTATTCCGAAATGCAAAGCTACCAAGGGTGGTTCACGAAGTTTAATAATGTAAATTATAGAAAGGTAACAAATATATCATACACTCAAACGTTAGTAGAAATACAAGTAGTAATAATGAAATTTAAAAGACGTGGCTAGTCCCGAATCTCAATTAATAAATATTATAATAGACCTATTGCCTTTAATAATAATAATAATAATATTTAATTGTCTTTTTTGGCACACCTCTTTTGACCTAACTCATACTTTTCGACCCATTTAATCTGCTTGAACCATGTTCCTTGTAATTATTCAAGCATTATTTTTCGCAATGCAGCAGCTGCTGGTCCCGGCACGCCCCTCCTAAAGATTGATTTTTACTATTTATAAGAACGCCTGGTCTTGTATGACTTCCGTTTTTAGATGGGCTCACAAAAGTGTTGCCTAATTTCCAGGGCATTTACAAGATCACCAGCTCAAGGAGCTTAACAACTACAACAACAAGAAGGACAAATCCACTCACTGGTTAAACAAAAAAACCCTTTACCAGGTTAAAACCTAAATTGTTTTGGCTTTATTAGCCACACCAGCAGGAGGAAATAAGTTTTTTTGTGGCTTGAGCTGTTTCTGCTCTTAGCTGCTGCTACAAAGGCAACTGAACTTGATAAAACTTGAGCAGAGACAGATGGAGAGTTAGAATGAGTTTGAGTGGGGAGTGGCTCATGATATAGCTACAGCAAAAGTAAAGACTTTTATTATAATTTTCAACTTTTGATTTACTGCTGGGCCCACCCCCCGCATTACCACTCAAATGTCATACAGATAACAAAAGCCAAACAAAATGAGGCTAATTTTAAGGCCAATACACACGACACAAACAATGGAATTTGAAGATAGCAAGTCCCACACACTGGGTGCCAAAGTTTAGTAACATAAGAAAACAGGAGCAGCGAAAAAAAGCGCCTTGAACAGGCGAAGATTTCACAAAATTACAACAATAAAATAGCAATAAAATTAAACATTGTAATATGGAAGTAAAACCACAAGAAAGCAAAACGAATTTATGGAATTAAAGTTCAGATTTTAGTAAGCGGATCTTAAACGAAGTTTTTTATTGAACTAAGGAAAAAAATGTTTTTTGGAAAATTCTGACAAAAATATAACATATATATTAAATTGAAGACGTATTTATTAAATAAATATTTTGACTAAAATATTATATAATTATAAATCATTAAATAAATAATAATCTTAAATAGAATAAAACACATTTTAATCCGATTTAACAATTAGATACATCTTAGACAACAAGACAACGTGTTAAACACCATGCAAGTGGCCAAAGCAATTAATTGGATTACTTAGACAAAAGCGACAAATTTAATGGTCATTGTATGCCGAATAGTTCGTAAGTCGGCTTTTTAAATTAAACCGCAAATGGAGATGTACGGTTCGAAACCCTTTCCATTGATAGGATTGGGGCGATATCCGCACTGCCTCACCAAATGTAGCACGTTCCATAATTCCAAATCAATGAGCTGCCGCCGAGGCATATACAATGGCATCGTTGATTGTGACGATGGCAAAACGATGTTACGCCAATTGTCCCTCTAAGCTGAAACCACCGCTCTTCAATGTCCACGCCTCCGAGGTATATGTGTGTGTGTATAGCATTTTAATAAATTACGTGACAAACTGCAAATACTCACCCACGTTAAGCTGCCTTTGACTGGTACACGGAAATATAGAAATATTTTGATACTTAAATAGCAATTTTGGGACAAATAAAGATTCTGAAATTCTTTAAGTCCATCTTTATACATTTAATACAATATATTTTACATTTTGTTTGTAAAATGAAGAATTTGTAACAGTATTATTTACAAATAAATTAAATAAAATGCTTTAGTATTAATTATTATACATTTTTTTTTTTCACAGTGTATCAGCAGCAGGTGCCTCTGAAATTGCTGCGTTCTCGAATTTCCTTAATGTAGGCTCTCATTAGTTGGAGGGCATTACAGCGGCATTTAAAGGGTATTCGAGGGGTGCCAACGAGGACGAGGGTAGCCACACAGTATTGCATTGGGCGGTGGCAGAACGCCAATGCTATTGCAATTTGCATTTGCCAAACGTCTCCAACATTTTGATACTGGTATCTTGTTGGTTAGTGTTTCAGTACTCGCAAACCGTTTGCTTTTCAGTGGCAAAATGAAATGACAAAGTTTGCA